ACCAGCCCTGGAGTCAGGAGGACCTGAGTTCAAATCTGACCTCAGACACTTGACATCTATGAGCTGTGTGACCCTGGGCAGGTCACTTAGCCCCACTGCCTAGCAAAACAAAACAAACAAAAACAAAACAAAACAAATGATGAAGGGCATGGTTTCAGAAAAACATGAGAAGACCAATATGAACTGAATCAAAGTGAAGTGAGAAGAACCAGGAGATCATTGTGCACGGTAGCAGCAATGTTGCAATGGTGATCAACTATGAAAGACATAATTGCTTTGATCAATACAATGATCCCAGACAATTCTGAAGGACTCATGATGAAAAAAATGCTATCTTCCAGAGAGAACCTATGAACTGTGAGTACAAATTGAAGTATAATTTTTTACTTTCTTTATTTTCCTTGCTTTTTTCCTGCAATATGACTAATATAGAAATGTGTTTTGCATGATTTCACATGTACAATTGATATCATATAGCTTGCCTTCTCAGTAGGTAGGGGAGGCAGGAAAGAATTTTGAACTCAAAATGAGAAAAAGAAGAATGTTTAAAATTTAAAAAAATTAAAAGAAGTAATAGAGACATGTGGTTAAAACATTTTTTAAATAAAAATAATTTTAATATTTAAAAAAAAAGAAAGTCACTTTGGTAGCTGAGAAGAAGATAGGTTAGAGTGGGGAGAGACTTAAGGCAAAGTGACCAACCCAAGAAAGCAGCAACAGTCCAAGTGTGAGGTGATGAGGGAACACATTAAGACAGTGGCTGTGCGAGTAGAGGGAAGGGGGACAATGGCAGAAATGAGAAGATACGACAAGAAGCTGGATATTTGGGGTTTTGAGTGAGGTGACCAGGAGCACACCATGGTTATAGGGAACTGGGAGCATGGTGTTGCCTTCTATGGTAATAGAGAAGATGGTGAAGTGCTAAGATGAAGTATAGCCGAGCTGTACTCCACAATTCATCCATACGGATCCAGAAAATGCACTAGACCAAATCCTGAGCAGAAAATCTACAAAAAATATATATCACAGTTATTTTTTTCCATCCCAGGTCAGCAAAAGGAAACAAAGAGGTCTGCAGACATTGGGGATAGGGTCTAGCCAGGAATAGCTGTGCAGAGCATTCCAGCACAGGGAAAGACTGTACTTGGGCAAGAAGATCCTGACCTTGTGTAGGAGCCTACGAATAGGCAGCTTTGTTGCTTGCTACCCAGTTCTGGGTCAGATTCTGGGTAGACTGAGGAAAACTGCAGCTAGGGGTGGTGATCCACAGAGAGGAACAGTTGTGGATCTTAGACTAAGTACTGAGCAAGAAGCAAGTATAGAAGCAAGCAGCACCTATGTAGATTAGAATGGGATCTCAGTTCCAGCTTCTAGCCAAATCTGAAGTCAGCAGTGGAATAACCAGGACAGGAATCCCAGACTAAAAGAGAGCCTGCACTTCTGTCATTCTGAACCTACAAAGCTTTCCAGTTGGCTAATAGTGTCTGAGTCCAACCACAGGCAAGCCAATAGATCTGTTGCTCAGCAAGCTGTGGTACATGAATGTAGTGGAATACTATTGTGCTATAAGAAATGATGAACAGGCTGACTTCAGAAAAACCTGGAAAGACTTGTGTGGTCTGATGCTGAGTGAAGTGAGCAGAACCAAGAGGACTTTGTATACAATAACAGCCACGTTATGCAATGACTAACATTGTTAAACTGAACCCTTCTCAGCATTACAAGGATCTAAGACATCTCCAGAGGCCTCGGGATGGAAAATGCTGTCCACATCCAAAGAAAGAACTATGGAAGTCGAATCGCTATCACTTACTTTTACCTTCTGTTGAGTTTTGTTTCCTCTTTCTGATGGTTCCTCCTATTGGTTTTAATTTTTACTTACAACACCACTAATGTGAAAATATATTTAATAGGAATGTAAATGTAAAGCCTATATCAGATTGTGCACCATCTTGGGGAGGGTGGGGGGAGAAAGGGGGAGAAAAATTTTCAACTCAAAAGCATATGGAAGTGATTGTTGATAAATCAAAATAAATTAATAAAATTAGATCTGTTGCTCAGACTCAAACCCAGGTCAGGAATTTGCAGAGCTCAGACAAGGAGGGAACTGATCAGCTTTTGCCATGGATCAGACCATTTTGGAACCACTGAAAACTTGAAGCTCCTCAGCCTGAGTTGTCCTTGAGAGCCTGGAATAACACAACACTCAATACGCCAAGAAAGCAGCAACAAGAACCTAGAGGACACGAGGTCAGCCCAAACACTCCTTCCAAAAGTTCACAGAGCCCAGTCCTACTATCAAGTCCAAAGTTAGGAAATAGGCTGGAAGAATAAACAAACAAAAAAGAATCTCACTATAAAAAACTATTACAGTGGCAGAGACACTCAAGACCTAAATCCAGAAGACAATGACTCCAAACTTCTATTAGCAAAGCCTCAAAGAAAAACACAAGTTGGGCACAAGTTCAACTAGTATTCCTAGAACAGATGAAGCCAGAGTTTTAAAAAGTTTTAAAATGTTTTTATAAATTAAATGAAAGCACTAGAAAATAGAAAATAAAATTGGAAAAGTAATGAGAGATATGGAAGAAAGAATTGGCAAAGTAATGAACTACTTGGAAGAAGAGGTACAAAACCTTGCCCAAGCAACAAATTCCTTTAAAATCAGAATGGACCAAATAGAAGATAATGATTCCATGAGACAGCAAGAAATATTAAAATAAAGCTAAAAGAATGGAAAAATAAAAGGAAATGTAAAGTACCTCTAGCAAAAACCACTGACATGGAAAACAGATTAAGGAGAGATTATTTAACAATCACTTGACTACCTGAAAGCCATGACCAAAAGAGAGCCTAGACATAACTCAAGAAATCACAAAACTGCCTTGATCTCTTAGAATCAAAGGGCAAAATGGAGACAGAATCCACCTCCTGAAAGAAACTCTAAAATGAAAACTGTGTGCTTAGTGGGATAGCAAATCATGAGAGAGGAGTAAAAGGATCATCTTGCTGCAGTGAAGCCAGTAAGCATGGTGTTGAGATTTTCTCCAGCTCCATTCAGCAGCATGTGAGTAGCAATGAAGGAGGCAGGTGGTAGGCATAATCCAAGGCTGGGTTTGGCAGATTGTGACTCAATAAGTGGTTAAGAAATTTGAAAGTGAAAGAAAATGTAAAATTGGATAGCAATGGCATTGGAGGTTTGAGTAAAGAGGTGATTTGGAACAGTTTCTCTAGAGTGGGTAACAGGGAATCAGTCCAAGGGGGAAAAAAAAGGCTTTCCATCCCTTGGAGATAGCCCAGTTCAGTTCTATTGGCATGGTTTGGAGTGGACCCAGTTGTCACATTTTCATGACTTTCTCTAGTTATGCTTAGAAGTTTAGGAGTAGAAAGCAGACTGGGTAATGCAGGGTTGAAGATTAGCACATAGGGAACAATGGAACTACCAGGTAATGTGGGATTCTAACTGGTGGATTATAAGACCAAAACAGTGAAGAGAAGGAAACGAAGCTGGAGCAAGGGTAATGGCCCAGGAGGCACTGGATGTGTGGTGAGAATTAAGATACATTTAGGAGGAATGAGGCAGGAGAGATGGAAAGACTAGAGGTTATTATCACAAAAGAGAAATTCACAGTTGAAGATCACTGAGGTAGCACAGGTAACTGGGGAAAGTGAGGCCTTCTTTAAAAGAGTAGGGCTGCCTGATTCTCAAGCAACCTTGAGTCCTTTCTCCTTTGGGAGTGGTACCCTGGTTTATACCCTATGTCTAGAGGGACGTACAGGCTTACTGGTGAGTAAAGGAAAGTTAGTTGTCTTGTTCATTGATGGGCTTCAACGCAAATCCTTTTCATTTTTCTCAGATGATATTCAGTGTTCTGTTACCATAAGTGCTCGCATGTTCTATTCCTGTGGAAAACCCTGGATGAAGGCACAAATCAGATGCTGGTTTTCACAGAGTAGACCCTGGGTTGGGGCAAGGTGAGCCAGATTAACAGACACCCCCCAAGAACGGTTCCCCATGGCTTTGGGCCACACATTACAACCTAAGAAAGAACTCGGACAGGGCCATTATAGCCTGGGCTGCAGAGTAAGTGATCCCTTCCTAAGAATTTACTCAGATTTGTCTCCCTCTCCTCCCTCTCAGGATCCTTCATCTGCTAAGGCTGATGCTATAGACAGGCATGGAATGGCCAGCATCACCACAGTGGGTGTAAAAGCACAGTCTATATCTGACCTAGTGTATCCCACCTCCTTACCTCTTCCATGGTTCCTGGAGCCAGGATGGTAAAGCACCAGTCAGCAACTAGACATTGCAGCAACTTAACCCAGCAGTGTGCCCTTTTTGCCCAATTGTTCCTCACAGAACTTGACTTTGGCTAATGAGCAACATTTTTTGGCACTAGGGGCTGGGCTGGGCCCAAGGAGCATTATCACTCCCAGGTGGTGTGTGAGAAGTGATTTTCTTTTATATTAATAACCAATTATTAATTAGGAACCAGGCTTTTTATTTCCTCGTTTAGGGACCAGCCCCTGTAGGTCAGCCAGTCTCTGAAGGACAAGATAAGATTAGCCTAATCCCCGGGGTACATGCTCTGCAATCTTGGGCAGAACCCCAACAGACTTGGAGACCTTATTTCTGTTCAGAGTGTAAACAGAATCTAATCTAGGTGAATTCCAGCCTCAATGCATTAAGCCCATGTCCTTGTACCCCTCCATTAGAGTTTAGGGTAACCCAGCTCACGAAGGAGAAAACCAACCAGAGTGGTCTGAGTAGAGATGGATTCCTTTGTCCAGATTGCTGGAGGTGGCTGAGTCTCATGATGAAACCACATGCTCAGAAGGACTTTTAGCCCACCTCCTCATTAACTGCTCATCAATCATGGTTGATTTCTCTTGTCAGGGGCATTCCCTTTCAAAAAAAAATTTAAGGCATTCAGTGTCTCCATTAGGTGTCTTTGAGGAAGACCAATGATTGTCAATTTATTATTAGCTAGCCTATTTAATAAATTGATTATTAATTACCCAGAAACTCTGTCTCTTGGGATTTTCACTTGTGACAGATGAAGATAAAAGAGGAAAGGTAAAGGAAAGCATCCTGGAAGAAGAAGGCCAGGCAGTATTTTGACAATAAGAAGAATCCTGGCCAGAAGGGGGAAAGTTTGGGAGAACCATTGAAGATAAAGAGGGAGAAAAGAAGCAGCACATTCTTGAGTTCCAAGTCAAGAGAGACCTCATCTCTTGTCTCTGACCTGTCCAAGTTGTTCATCCTGAGTCTCGTTTCCCTCATTGGTAAAATCTGTGGGTGAGAGGAGAGAATAATGCTACTTGCACTATGGAGCTCAAATATAAATTTGACCAGTAGGAGGTCAAGACCGAGCTGCAGAGAAGCCTTAAAGTACAAGCAGGTATCAGTCTCCAATCTACAGGCAAAAAGAGGCCTTCCCCAAGAAACTCCACAAGAGGAGTCCAGAGGCACAGGAAGGTCCAAGCGTGACACACTGTAAAATAAGATGATGAGTTCAGATCTGGCATATAGGAGGTTCCAGGGATGCTGCTAAAGGTATATGCCTGGGAGATGGGGGCCTTGAGAGGGGCAGACCCCACCTAAGAAGAAAAGAAAGTCATTAGGATAAGATGGGGGTGGGGCATAGAAATACAGCCGGAGTAGAGGAAGAGAACAGAGTTCTTTATTCAAAAGAGCATGCCAGAGGGTCCCCCATGGTTGAGATGGGGCCAAAGGGCCAAACACTATCTTTCCAGGCTAGGTTCAGACCAGGCTGCAGCTCCCTCTTGGGGCAAGTGGGTGAGCTCTCTGTGAGGCTCTAGGACAAGACTGAGGCATGTTTCCCTGGGCTGCAGTCAATACTGGGCTCCTAATAATAATAATAATAATGATAAAAAAATATTAGGCTCCTTCTCTCAGGCCCTTGGGGCTCCACAACAGGCTAAAGACCTAAAAATGGATAAGGATCCCCTTGGAATAAACTTCTAGTAACATCCCTGCCTATTGATGTCTCTGGTACTTTCTCTTTTCTGATCCTCAGAGGATTCCTGAGTAACCTGGAAAGAAAAGTCCCCCAATCCTGGCTTCTCTGGGGTCCTTACCTCTGATTGGGCCCCCTCAGCAACCACACCACTGCCCCCTTCAGCAGCTGCCTCTGTGATGCTCCCCTTGGACTCTCTGATATCACTTTGGCCACCAGCTTCCAGCTCCATCTTCAGTCTGGCAGGGGAGATGTTAGAAAGGTCTAGGTCAGGGTAGGAGGGACATTAGGAGGCTGGGCCAGAGAGAGACCCACATACATACACACACACACACACACACACACACACACACACACATATTAACGAAGAAAGACATGCACAAGCACAGAAAGTGACCCAGAGAAAGACAGGAAAAAACAGACACCAACTCTGAGAAATGAGGGACAAAGACATGCAAAGAAAAGCACATGCCAAAATGAAGAGACACACAGACCCAAAAAGAGAGATATGCACCAAGGCAAAGAGAAACCTAGAAATAGGGAGGGGGAGAAGGGGCACAAACAAAACTCAGAATATCAAAGGAACTAATGAAAAAAAAAAGTAAAGCAAGGAGGTTTAGCAGTATTGGATCTTAAACTATAAGGCAATAATTATCAAAACTATCTGGTACCAGCTAAGAAAGAGAAAGGTAGATCAGTGGAACAGAGTAGGCATACAATCTACAGCAGCAAATAAATATAGTAACACAGGGTTTGACAAGTGGGATAAGAATTCATCATTTGCTAAAAATTGTTAGGAAAGCTGGAAAACAGTCTGGCAGAAATTGGGCATAGCCCAATATCTTACAGACTTACATCATTTACCAAGATAAAGGTCAAAATGGATACATGAGATAAAGGGAGATATCACAAGAAAATTAGAAGAACATGGAACATATTACCTATCAGATTTAGGGATAAGAGAACAATTTATGAATAAACAAGGGATAGAGAGCATTGTGATGTATAAAATGGATAATTTCAGTTACATTAAATTAAAAAGGTTTTGTACAAATAAAACCAATGTAGCCAAGATCAGAAGGAAAGCAGAAAATAGGGGTAAAATTTTTATAGACAGTTTTTCAGATAAAGGTCTCATTTCTCAAATATTTTGTCAAATTTATAAGAATACAGAGTCATTACCTAGTTGATAAATGGTCAAAGGATCTGAACAGGCAGTTTTTCTTTTTTTGTTTTGTTTTGTTTTTGTTTTCTTTTTGGTTGGGTAATGGGGGTTAAGTGACTTGCCCAGGGTCACATAGCTAGTAAGTGTTATGTGCCTGAGGCCGGATTTGAACTCAGGTCCTCCTGAATCTAGGGCCGGTGCTCTATCCACTGTGCCACCTAGCTGCCCCTTCCTTTTTTTAATTAATTAATTTTTAGTTTTCAACATTCACTTCCATAAGATTTTGAGTTCTAAGTTTTCTCTCCCTTCCTCCTCCCCAAGATATCCTGCAATCTGATAGAGGCTCTACGTATACATTCCTATTAAACAAATTTTCACATTAGTCATGTTGTAAAGAAGAATTAGAACCAATAGGAGGAACCACCAGAAAGAAGAAACAACAACAACAGCGACAAAACAGAGCCAATAGTCTGCTTCGATCTGCATTCAGGCTCCATGGTTTGTTTTCTGCATTTTCCATCATAAGTTCACCGGAATTGTCTTAGATTACTTAATTGCTGAGAAGGGCTAAGTCTGCCAAAGGCGGTCATCGCACAACGTGGCTGTCACTGTGTGCAACATTCTCCTGGTTCTGCTCACTTCCCTCAGCAGCAGACCACACAAGTCTTTCCAGGTTTTTCTGAAGTCAGCCTGATCATCATTTCTTATAGCACTATGGTATTCCATTACATTCATGTACCACAACTTGCTCAGCCATTCCCCAATGGACGGGCATCCTCTCAATTTCCAATTCTTTGCCACCACAAAAAGAGCTGCTATGAATATTTTTTGTACATGTGGGTCCTTTTCCCATTTTTATGATCTCTTTGGGATACAGACCTAGAGGTGGTACTACTGGGCCAAGGGGTATGCACAATTTTATAGCCCTTTGGGCATAGTTCCAGATTGAAACAGGCAGTTTTTTGATGAAGAAATTAAAACTATGTAGTCATATGAAAAAAAAATGCTCTAAATCATTATTGATTAGAGAAATGAAAACTAAAACAGCTTTGAGATAATCATTTTATACCTATCAGATTGACTAAAATGATAGAAGGGGAAAGCAAAAAAAATGTTGGAGGGGATGTGGAAAAATTGGGACAGTAATTCACTGTTGGTAGATCTGTGAACTAGTCTAACCATTTTGGAGAGCAATCTGGAATTATGCCCAAAGAATTATAAAACTATTAATACCCTTTGACTCAGCAATACCACTATTAGGCCTGTTTTTCCAAGGTGAAAAAGAAAAGAACCTATATATTCTAAGATATTGCTAGCAGCTCTTTTTATGGTGGCAAAGAACAGGAAATTGAGGGGATGCCCATCCATTGGGGAATGGCTAAACAAGTTGTGGTCTATGATTGTAATGGAATTCTACTGTCCTATAAGAAATGATGAGCTGACATTGTGCAATGTATGACTGACTTAGCTTTTCTCAGCAATACAATGATCTAAGACAATTCCAAAAGACTTATGATGGAAAATGCTATCCACATGCAGAGAAAGAACTGAATGCAGATAGAAGCATACTATTTTCACTTTTTTTGGTGGTTTTTTCCATTTTTGGTCTGTTTCTTCTTATACAATATGACGAATATGGAAATATATCTCACATGATTGCGCATATATAACCTATATCAAACTGCTTACTGTCTTAGGGAGGGAGGAAATTTGGAACTCAAAATTTTATTTAAAAAAAGAATGTTAACAATTGCCTTTGTTATTAGAAATGTAATTGGAAATCTAATTGGAAAAAATAAAATACTATTTAAAAGAAAAAAAAAATGATGAGCTGGTTGATTTTAGAAAAAATATGAAAAGACTTACATGAAATAATGAAGGGTGAAATGAGCAGAACCAAGAGAATGTTGTACACAGTAACAGCAATATTGTTCTAAGAACAACTTTGGATGACTAAGTTATTTTGAGTATTATAAATACTCAAATCAACTACAAAGGGCCTATGAAGAAAGATGCTGTCCACCTCCAGAGAAAGAACTGATAAATGGAAGCATACATAGTATGGTTTTACATATATACATATACATATATGTGTGTGTGTCTAATGGTAGCATTTTCTAAGGCAGGGTGGGGAGAGAGAGGGAGAAAAAAAATAAAAAGTACATAGCAGAGAACAAAAGAAAACTTAGAAGGAAGCACACAAAAGCAGGGTACCTTTGAGAATGGTGTGTAGAAGAAAGAGACAGTGGATAGAGCAGCGACCCTGAAGTCAGGAGGACCTGAGTTCAAATCCAGCCTCGGACCAAACACTTGACACTTACTAGCTATGTGACCCCTGGGCAAGTCACTTAACCCCAATTGCCAGAAGAAGAAGAAGAAGGAGAAGAAGACAGATACACACAGTGAGACATGCAGATTGAGGGAGGCAAACATACACACAAGGAGAAATATACACAGACAGAAAAATAGGGTAAGATAGGGTTCATGAGAGAACACTCAAAGTTAGAGAGTCATATAGGTTTAGATGGGAAAGCATACACTAAGAGAGTCACAGAGGGCTGGGGAGAGTAGCCTGACTCCAAAGAGTCAATCACACAGGAAGAGAGAAAGGTTTAGAGGGAGAGTCACACACATAGGGTTAGATAAAGATACATTCAAAGGTAGCAAGAGACACAAACACAAGGGATAGAGAATCACATACATAGAGACAGAGACACGCATAAGAGACCTACAGATATATGTATATACACAGAGAGAGAGAGAGAGACATAGAAAGAAACAAAATCACAAAAAAACAAAACAAAACCCGGAAGCAGAGATAGAAACTGGAACCCTTCCTATGGCCCCCAACCATTTCCCACCTTTGATCCTATCTAGACCCCATTCTACCTCCTCCAGTCACCCCAGCCTCCTGGCTACTCCCATCAAGATCCTCCCTAGAGCCCCTTCTCCCAGACCCCTCCTCCAGTCACCCCAAATTACTTGGCTACTCCTAGATCCCTCTCACAGTCTTTCTGTCTATAAGGTCCATCTTGTCTCCATTAAGGTGTTCAGATTCTTTAGGAGTCTATCCAAGCTGGGCAGCTAGGTGGTGTGGTTGGTAGAGCTCCAGCCTTGAAGTCAGGAGGACCTGAGTTCAAATCCAGCCTCAGACCCTTAACACTTACTAGCTGTGTGACCCTGGGCAAGTCACTTAATCCCTCACCAAAAAAAAAAAAAAGTGAGTCTAGCCAAGGGCTCACAAATGTTTAGATTCCTTAAGAGTCCCGCCAATATGGCAGATTATTAATAAGCCTTGTCCCTGACTAAGGGAAGGTTTGGGTCGAATTCATTTGAGCAGGACCCGGTGTTGCTATTTTGGGGTCCAAGGACCCCTAAACTTCAACAGTGGGGGGGACCTGTCCAAGTTCACCTGCAGTACTGCTGCTGCAGCTGGTGGTAATGCTGAGAGGCTGCCTCCAGGAACTGCATGGCCTTCTTGTTTTCCTCCTCAAACAGGTGCCTGGGAAAGTTGGCCACACCGTCAGCACCACCCTGAAACTTCCCTGACTTTTCCAGCCCCAATCAGTCTTCCCCCTGCCTCACATGGCAGCAGCAGCTTCCTCACTGCAAAGGAAGGTGTCCACACTGTTGACAGCTAGAGCCTCAGCCCTAGCCTTGGGGTGAGGCAGCACAGGGAGTCGTTTCTCCATGCCATCCAATTTCTCCTGAATTAGCTTTTCTGTTTACCAGGAAATGAATTTCAGGTGTCTCCTCATAGATTTCAAGGCTCTTCCACTCTCCATTTGATCTTCTGCTAACAGCCAGTGGTGGTCTCTGGGTGGTCTCTCGGAATAGGTGGCCACGCAGCCTCAGGTTTGCACGTTCCCAGGGATAAGGAGCTCCCAAATGCACAAGGGGATTCCATTCATCTGTTCCTCCTCAATCACTCCCTCCATCTTCTCAACCAAAGACCCTTACCTTCCTGTAGAAGCTGTTCCTTGCTACTGGCTGTACTGTTGATTTCTTGAGCCAGCATCTCTGGTGTCTAATGGAAGGGAGGGCAGCTGGATCTAAGGTTCTCTCCTTCCTCTGAAATTCCCCCCAACTCAGATTACAGAATCTCAGAGTTGGAAGGGACCTCAGAGGCCATCTTATTCTACCAATACCTAAATAAGAATCCCTTTTGCACTGTGTGACCCTGGGCAAGTCACTTAACCCCAATTGCCTCCCCCCAAAAAAAGCAAAAAAAGAAAAGAAAAAAGAATCCCTTCTGCAAACCAGTCTCCACCTGATAAACTTCCAGTAAAAGGAGGCCTATTTCCTTATACGAAATGCATCTAGGCTAGGCCTTCATTGCACGGGCTACCTGCTTCACTTAGTGACTCAATATGACTTCCTACTACTGTCCCCATTCATCTTCTGCTCCAGCTGGAACAGGCCTTCACTGCCACCCCCACCACTCCCCAATCATGTTGGTTTCTGCCTCTGTACCTTTGCTGTCATGTTCCCATGCCCACCATGACCTGGAATGCTTTCCACCCCATTTCTCTGCTGCTTTCAACCCTAGATTCTCCCTCACGTGTAATTCCCATAGAGCCTTGTGCTTCTCCATCAGCTCTTCCAGCTGCTGTTCAAACTCCATTCTGGGAAGAGAAAAGCAGAGAATGTGCCAGGCCACCCTCCAAACTTACTTTCCCCAATTCCAGTCACTGTTGCCCTCTGAGGCCCCACCTCCTCTTAGATCCTTTCCATATACTGAACTTCACAATTGATCATTTACAGTGTCACTAAATTTCAGGACTGAAAGGGTACTTAGCCAGCAATTGTTCAGCCCTCTCATTTTATAGTTGGGGAAACTGAGGTCCAGGGAAGTGGAGGGAAGGGATTCTCTTAAGGCTTCCTAGTGAGTCAGTGGCAGAACAGGGATAAGACCTCAGGTCTCCTGTGTCTCAATCTAAGGCTCTCTCCACTGTCTATAACACTCTGAGCTGTGGCATGAACTGTTTAAAATGAGTCAGTACATTGCCGTGTAACCTTAAGTGAGTCCCTCCCCTCCCATCCCAGTCCCTTGCCTTCAGTTCAGGTTCCCGTTTGGGTCAGATGAACTCTGACATCCCTTCCAGCTCAATCTCCTCAGAGAGAACGGGCAGATCTGTCTATTTCTCTTTTGCCTCATTCCATGCAGGGCCTCCACCTGTTAATCAGGGGGCTAGACTTGACTGCCTGTTTGGTATTGTGGACCCTTCTAGCTCTAAGATTCTGTGGTTTTAAATCCAATTCGCAACTGAATTCAGAGGGTATTGAATGCCAGCATAAAACTGAAATAGGAGGCTTTACCTCTGCTTCCTCCTTCTTAGTTTCTCTTCCTGAATCTTAGAATTCAGATCTGTTATCCTCTGGATGCAGTCCTGAGACATAGCCTGTTGTCTTGGAGGGGAAAGAAGGGATGAGGACAGGTGCAGGGAGACGGGTGCGGAGAAGCCAATTTAACCCAAACTTACCCTCTTGGGCTTAGCCTGAGATTTCCTTGCACACACACACACACACACACACACACACACACACACACACACACACACACTCACACTCCATCCTACCCCTTCCAGCTCTAGCCTGCTGTGAATCTCTAAACTATTACAGAGGTATTTTGTTTTGCCAGCAATTTGTGTCCCTATCAAACTTGTTCTGAATTGTGTCTCACATTAGAGAAGAGAATTTCCCTGTTATTGGGCAAGGGATTGGATTCAACATTCTCTAAGCTCCATTTCGGCCTTGAGACTCCAGGAATCTGTGAATTCCATATTCTATAGAAATCCTACCTTCTAAAAGAAGCCTTTCCCAACCCCTCTTAATTCTAGTACCTTCTGTCTTTCAATTATTTCTATTCATCCTGTATATAACTTATTTGTACATATATGTTTGCATGTTGTTTCCCTCATTAGATTGTAAGCTTCTTGAGGGCAGGGACTATCTTCTTTGCTTCTTTTTGTATCCCCAGTGCTTAGCCATAGTGACTGGCACATAGTAGGTGCTTAGTAAATGCTTAGTGCAGGGCAGCTAGGTGGCAGAGTGGATAGAACACCGACCCTGTAGTCAGGAGGACCTCAATTCAAATCGGGCCTCAGACACTTGGCTCTTACTCGCTATGTGACCCTGGGCAGATCACTTAACCCCATTGCCTAGCAAAAAAAAAAAAAAGAAAGAAAGAAAAGTAAATGCTTATTGCCTGCCTGTTGCGGGTCAGTAAGCAGAAGTAGAAAGGAACACGTATACTTAGAGGTTGATGTCCTCTTGAGTCCCGCTCCAAATTATGTCATATGTGGGAGGAGAATTCATCCTCCAACTGGGGGATTGGAGGTGATGCTTTTGAAGGTCCCTGCTGGCTCCCATGGACTGTGACTCTACAAGACTCTAAACTAACCCCCTCAAGGGACACAATGGGATTTTCAGAAGGTCCTTTTAGAGCTGGAATTCCTCGTTGTTTTTGGTCACGTACCCCTTGAGCTGTCAGATGAAGCCTATGGACACCTCCAAATTAAAGTATAATGTCATATATCATTTAGAAGTTAGTGAAAGTAAAGATATCAGTTTTTCCCATTCAAGTTCACAGACCCCTGGAATCTATCCATGGAGCCCAGATTAAGAACCCCTATTCTCTAGTCCAGCTATTCTGGAAAGAAATTTGGAACTATGCCAAAAAGCTCTTAACCTGTGCATGCCCTAACCTGGCCATACTACTTCTAAGGTTATACCCCAATGAGATCAAAGACAGAGAGCAAAAGGCCCCATGTATACAAAGATATTTCGAGAAGCTCCATTTGTGGTGGCAAAGACTTGGAAACTGAGGCAGTGCCCATCAGCTGGGGAATGGCTGACCAGATAATGGTAAAGGCACGTGATAAAATACTGTGCTATAGGAAATGACGGGAATGCTTTCAGAGAATTCTGAGAAGACTCAGATGAACTGATTCAGAGAGAACTGAGGAGAGCCAGGAGAACAATGTAGATAATAACAACACTGTAGAGGCAAAGGATTTTGAATGATCAATGCAATGACCATCTGCAATTCCAGAGGCATGATGATGAGGCCTATTCCCCATCTCCTGACAGACAGGTGCTGGACTCCAGTCCAGATTGAGATGGATTTTTTTATGTGGCCAATGGGGAAATTTGTTTTGCTTGACAATACATATTTGTAATGAGGGGTTTGTTTTTCTTTCTTTATCCACAGGGGACGTGAGACTGACGAAAGGCAGATTTTTATCAACTGATTAAAAAAAATAAAGAATTTAGTTAAAAAACTCAAAAACCCTGTTCTAGGATTTAACTTCCACAAAATGGCTAATAGAGAACGTCAGGTCCAGTAGAGGAAGGTTGGAATGCCCCATGACTTAGCACCACCTCCCCAGAAGCCAGGTCTAATCCTTGCTTCTTGGCTCTTTCTGAAAGAATACAAACCTCTTACCTCTGGAATTTGTTTTCCTCTTCTTTGAAGTGCTGTTGAAGGAGGTTCAGGGTTTCTATGATGAGAAAGAGAGGTCAGTGGGAGGCTAAAGCAACATTCAAAATGGCACCTGTATGATATGGCTCAGCCTCAACAGAGTTTCCAGACAATGAAAACAGCTCCCCTAAAAGGGAAGAAGTTCCCCATCACAGGAGACTTACTCTGCTTCATGCTTAAGATTTCCTCCAGAGGTGTCAGAAATTTGACTGAGTGTCTTCCTTACCTCCATTTTGTACAGCCTACATTCAATGAGGCGGCAGTGACCCCTTCAGTTTATAGATGGGGAAACTGAGAGCCAGAAAGGGAAAAGTGAGTAGTTGCCTGAGGTAGTATCAGTCAATATACATTTATTAAGCACCTATGTGCTTAATAGGCACTGTGCTGTATAAAAAGGAGTTTTAGTTTACAACTCTAGCATTGACTTGCAGTGTTATCTTAAGTAGGTCCCAAATGTTCCTTGGATTCCAGTTTCCCTCATTACTTAAAAAAAAAAAAAGTTAGACTAGATAATCTCCAAAGCTTCTTCTAGCTCTGACATTCTCTAGGTCTATGAACCAAAAAAGGTCAACAAACAGGGATTATGCTCAGGGGTTTATTTCTTTAACTCTTATTCCAAGCTAGATTTTATATCTGAGAGGGTGATTCATCAGGCATAGGGTTGAAGTAAATGATTTCATACATCTTTCCAGCTTCACTGCTCTATGATTCTATTATGGTGATTTGTGGTCCGCCTCTCCTCACTATCATGTCAAATGCTTAGTTTAACCCCTATTTTATTCCAATTACTACTATTCAGTTTAGTGTAATTCCATAGGGGTAGTAATTATTGTTGGTATGCTTGTCTATTAATACAGATTTAGTCAATTAATACTAGTACATATTTTACATATTTAGGGATAACTAGATAAGGTTGGACAGATTCTTTCTTATAAGAAAGAAGTGGGCTTGTAAACCATAGTTTAAAAGTTCTGATTATATTAGGCCTCAGAGCTTTGAACTGTGGGTTGTAAATTCAATTCCTTAACCACAGGAAGCTAACTAGAGGACCTCCACCCTTTATTGACTGATGAGTAAGTGACCAAGGCCAGCATGGCTGAGATGTCCTAACAACATGGAAAATCCTCCAGCTTCCTTTCATCCTTCCAGCCTTCATCATTCCTCTCTACTGCCCAACATGAGAAACAGCTTTGGCACTTGGCCAATGGGCAGGTGACTAAATGTACATTAATAGACAAGTATAAGAGAAATAATCACTACCCCTATGGAAGTTCACTAAGCTGAATAATAACTGATCAGAATAAAATCCACGCTTAAATTAATCATTTGCCACACTACCTAGCATACAGCCCTCGTACTGGGAAAGTATAAAATCGCTATTTGTTGAGCTCAGTTCTTTGAAGTATATGATAATTCTCAGCATCTCAATGGCCCCTGCAAACATAAAAGGGGAGCCGGGTATGGGTGGGGAGCTACAAATGCCTCTGCAGATGGGGCAATCCTGGGACCACAGAAGTGCTTAGCTCCACCAGGATGACCTACATTCATCTAGTTCTTTCTTCAATGCTTCCCTTTCAGCCTGGCTTTTCTGAAGCTCCTCATTTGCAGTTCTGTAGGCTAGAGAAAACGTAGACTAAGGAAGAGATTTATGAGTGGAGGTCCTAGCTTAGACTGCCCTCAAATGGTTGGGGGATGCTAAGACCACTCATTTTACAGAGAAGGCGATCAAGACTCAATAAGGGAAAGGGACTTTCTCAAGGTCACCGGGCAAATGAGTATTGTAGTTCAGGTTAAGAAATGTTTTCCTGAATCCTAGGCACTAGAGTACCTTCTCTTCCATCCTCTGTGTCCACCCTTTAAGGTCCAGCTCCAGTGTGACTCCCCCTGAGACATTTTCCCCAGCTACCCTAGACTGACGAGATTTCATCCTCCTCTGGCGCAAGAGAAAGGAGGGAGGGTAGAAAGAATGTCAGGCTGGAGGGTCATACTTCTAGAGGGAATTGATAGCTCTACTTAGCAGCCTGAGCTCCCCAGAGGTTTATGATTTGGACCTTCCTTGCTCCTCAGCTCACTTTATTGCAGTTCATTAATTACATTCATCATTTCTTCAGTTCTGGGATTATGGCTCTCTGTTATGGGAGGAGAGAAAAGTTAGGCCTTTGGGTTAAGAACATCGAACATATACATAGAGCCTTAGGGTTTGCAAAACACTGTAAGCGCTACCTTACTGGGTCCTCACAACAACCCTAGGAGATCAGTGCTATTATTATAACTGCCATTTTACAAAAACTGAGGAGGGGGAAGTAAAGGCATTTGCCCAAGGTTCCATAGGCCGGATTTGAACTCAGGAAGATGAGTTTTCCTGACAGTACCATAAAAAATAAACAAACCCCAACGCTCATCAGGGCTGTGTATGGGATTTGGAATCAGAAGACTCAGGCTCGAATCCTGGCTCCTGGAAGCTGTCACTAAAGGAGTGTGAAGACAACATATTCATTAGGCAAATGACTGATGAGAATGTCTCAATTTTTTTCATTTCCTCTTTTTCTTCCAAATAAATGCTTTTGCTGATTCCATGCAATCTGCCTAGTTTCTTGTTAGCTCCATAATAACAGAGTGACATGTAGTGCATGGGCAGCTAGCACTGGCTGGCCCACAAGCAAACAGACATTGGAGTATATCAGAGGTTCTTAACCTAGGGTCTGTGAACTTGTCTTTTAAATGTTTTGATAACTATATTTCAATATAGTTAGTTCCCTTTTTAATTCTATATATTTGATTTTATACATTTAAAAACCTTCTGAAAAGGGGTCTGTGACACAAAAAAGGTTACGGACCCTTGGACCACTGTGCTATAACATCTTGATTCCCTGTTGTCCAGTCATTTTTCCAATTGTGTCCAACTCTTCATGACCCCATTTGGGTTTTCTTGGCAGAGATACTGGAAGGGTTTGCCATTTCCTTCTCCAGCTCATTTTACAGATGAGGAAACTGAGGCAAACAGAGTGAAGTGACTTGCCCAGGGTCACACAGCTAGGAAGTGTCTGAAGTCGGATTTTAACTCAGATGTTCCTGACTCCAGGCGCCCTACCCACTGCTCCACCTATCTGCTCATTCCCTGTGACCATCCACAAATCACCATGGGCCTGTTTGTTTCCTTCCCTGTAAAACAAACATGAGCAAAAGCTCTAAAAGCCTTGAAGTCTCTAAGCCCCTGCCCCCAGAAACTGATACTAGTCCTGTTTGTTAAATGGGGGTGATTGGCTTATAAGGTCTTTTGGGTACCACTCAGCTATAAGAGCCTATGATTCCTTATGACCTTGGGCATATCAATCACCCTTCTAGGAAGACCTCCTCAGAACTTTAAGGTTACTCATGAGCCAGCACTAATTCCTCAGGGGCTTGGGTTGATTTTTTGAAGAGGATTTTTTTCTGATAAGTATACCTCTTGGCCTCAGTTTTCTACTTGTAAAATGAGAAAGTTGGCTTTAGTGATCTCTAACATCCTAGCTGTCTCCTGAGGAACCGTTATGTAGGTCAAGAAGCAACAGGTGGAACCAAACACGGGACAACTGATTGGTTTAAGATTGGAAAAGAGGTTGTATATTAGACAAGGCTGTATACTGTCACTTTATTAATTTGACTTACGTGCAGAGTACATCGTGCAAAACGCCAGGCTGGATAAATCAAAAGCCAGAATTAAGGTTGCTGGGAGAGTTATCAACAATCTCAGATGTGCAGATGATACCATTCTGATGGAAGAAAGTGAAGAGGAATTAAGAAGCTTCTCGATGAGGGGATGAGGGTGAAAGAGGAGAGTGTAAAAACGGGCTTGAAATTTTTTCTAAAATTTTTAGGTAATTGGGGTTAAGTGACTTGCCCACAAGTCACAGAGCTAGTGTTGTGTTTGGTCTGAGGCCGGATTTGAACTCAGGTCCTCCTGACTTCAGAGCTGGTGCTCTATCTACTTCACCACCTAGCTGCCCTGGCTTGAAACTTAATATCAAAAAAAAAAAAACCAAAACAACAACAAAAAACAACCCAAAGATCATAGCAACTGGTCCCATCACTTCCTGGCAAATAGAAAGAGAAGAAATGGAAGCAGTGTCAGATTTTATATTCTTGGGCTCAAAGCTCACTGCAGATGGTGACTTTAGCCATGCAATTAAAAGACGCTTGCTCCTTGGAAGGAAAGCCATGGCAAATCTGGACAGCAGACCAAAAAGCAGAGACATCACCTTGCTGACAAAGGTCTGTAGAGTCAAAGCTGTGGCCTTCCCAGTGGCAATGTAGGCTGGGAGAGCTGGACTCTAAGGAAAGCCGAGTGCCACAGAATCGACGCTTTTAAATTGTGGAATTGTGGGGCTGGAGACTTCTGAGAGTCCCTGGGACAGCAAGGAGGTCAAATCAGTCAGTGCTTCAAGAAATCAATTCAGGCTAAGGGCAAATACTGAAGCTGAAGCTGAAGCTTAACTCCTTTGGCCACATAGTGAGAAGATGGGACTCACTGGGAAAGACCTGATGGTGGGCAAGACTGAAGGCAAAAGGAGAAGGGGACGGCAGAGATGGATAGGGAACGTCATAGAAGCGACCAACATGAGCTTGGACAGCCTTCAGGAGATAGGGGAGGATAGAAGGGGCTGGTGTGCTCTGGACCACAGGGTCACAAAGAGTGAATAACAACAACAAACACCCCTCCAACTCTGAAGTCCCTTGTTCATCTGATGATAATAAGCTCACATTTTTATAGTGCCTTAAGGTCTGTAAAGAGCTTTACATATATTATTTCATTTTATTCTCGCAACAACCACATAAAGCAGGTGCTATTATTTTCATCCCCTTTTTACAGGAAAGCAAATGAAGACTAAGAGGAGCTAAATGACTCCTCCCTAGTGTCTGAGGTGATATTAGAACCCAGGTCACTCATGTCCCCGAGTCTAGAAATCTTCCTACCTCCATCATGTTGCCTTTGACATGGAAAGAAAGTCAGCCTCACATCGTGCTTAGCTGAGGGCCTCTGCTCCCACTCCTCTTTCGCAATGCTTCCCCCCTACTTCTCTTTTGGCCAGGCTTCCCCTTCAACAGTCTTCAGGTCTATGGTTCCTTTTGACTTGGAATCCCATGCAATGTGGACTCTTTGATGGTCATTCAGGGGCCCAGATGTCAAGATCTGTCACCAATCATTCCCTTTTTAGAAAAGTCCTGAGTTGCAAACTTTCCCTTCCTCCCCCTTGTGCCTTAAGAGGGCTCTTGGGATCTTTGTCAAAGCAACCAGTCTTTGGAAGATGGTGAGGTTCCTGAAGCTCAGCGAGCTTGATCCTGTGCTCAGAGGAAAGGGGGGCCCAGAGAGGGGGCTGGGTCAGCAGCCTGGGACGAGGAACACGTTACCTTTCTGCATCTTGTTGATTAGTCAGAGTAGGTCTTCTTGGATCACCAAATGCTTGGGTTGTGCTTCCTAAGGAGAAACAAAATACTGTTAAGGGACAGTAAGGATCAAATCTCAATACTCCCATACTTCAAAGAAGGCCTGCCAGGAAGGATGCGGAATTTAAATTCTGGGCAGAGATTTGATTTTCTCTACCCCTATCTAGGGGCCCAGAGCCCCAGGGAAACAGTTTCCTTCCATTCTAAAGATTTTTGAACCTCAGGTCCAGGACAGCAATGTCTGGAGCAGATTTGAACCTAGTCACAAATTCTCCTAAGCTTCACCACAGTTAGCTGTCCAAGACCAGGGAGGGGAAATTGGTGGCGCTGAGACATAGTAGGGTTTTTCAGGGACCTTGTACGTCAGAGAATGGAAACAAGTCAGGGTATGACCATAACGATTCAGGAGCATATGAGTCATCTTATTGGTATGGATACTTAAAGGGACTCTTGAATACACACTCCTTTTAAAAATAACCCCAAAACGAATTTTTAGAAAGCATACACCAGAGGAATGGAGATTTGCAAGGCAGATATTCAAGTTGGATCTCCGCAGATACTTTGCACAGCTAGCGATGCCTAAGGGCCAAGTCACTAAGCATTTACTAAATGCCTATTAGGAGGCAGCTAGGTGGCTCAGCAGACAGAGTGCCAAGCCTGGAGGCAGGATGATGGTGTTGTCATCACTGCCATCCTTCATTTAGAAGGGGACCAAAGATGTCCCAGGTGCTAGTCCTCTTGGAACATTCCATACACCTCTGGAGTCAGAAGACCTGAGTTCAAATGTGGCCTCAGACACTTCCTAGCAGTGGGACCCTGGCCAAGTCCCTTTACCCTGTTTGCCTCAGTTTCCTCCTCTGTAAAATGAGCTGGAGCAGGAAACGGCCAAGCCTTCCAGTATCTCTGCCCAGAAAACTCTCAATGGCCATCACTGAACGCCAACAATTAATGTCGGAAAATCTAGAAAATGCAGCTACAGATGAGCAAGGCTCGGCAGTTCCAAGGAGTCTAGATGCTTCTGGGAAAAGGCCCGGAGAACTGTCAGGGAGGCTCCGGCTGAAGCCACAGGAAGGGAGAGCAGAAACTGAGTGCCCCCAAGAACTGTCTGAGAGTGCCGGGCAACCGGAACATTTAGGAGCGCTCAGGGCAGCCTCTGCAAAACAAAGCAGCCAGGACGAAGGAAGGCCTAAAGCCAAGAGGCCCAGAAGCCTGGGGGGGCCCTACTCTAGGGGTGGGGCTCCCGAAGCACTGAGGCACGGGCCGCTCACCGGAGCAGGAGCCCCTGACAGCAAAGTCCTGGGCCGGCCTTGCTGAAGCCGTGGCTCCTCCTCCCGCTAGCTCTCGGGCCTGGCTCTTTTCCTCACAAGCCTTCTCACGAGCCTCCCCTTTTCCCGCCCTTTCGCCTCGGCCCATGGCGCATGAGCAACGAGCCAGTCGGGCCAGGCACGCCCTGGAGTGAAGAAAGGAGCCAGGAGCTTCCCCGGCCCGAAGTGCGCATGCGCCCTCGGGGCCCGTGGGGCGGGGCGGCCGAGACCTCCCCTTCTTTCTCCCGCCCCGTCAATTTCTGCCGACCCTCTCGCCTCTAAACCATCAAGTAGTCAACCATTTTTAGAGCACCTAGTTTATGCCCCACAGAAAAGCGTAAAAGGGCTGTAGGGCTGGCCCTAGAGATGGGTTCAAGCCCTGCCACCGCCAGCTCCCCTTCTCTGCCCAAGCGGGGCATGGATGCCAGGAGCTCGGAAAAGGAATCATGCCAGACCCCGACTCTAGAGTAGGTGGTGATGCTGCAGCAGAAGGCCTGAGGTGGTGGGGGAGAGCAACACAGGCGTGAGCATTGAGGGTTCCAAGAGGAGAGGCTGAGTGTTGAAGATTCTGGGCACGGGAGTGGAGGCAGTAGATGCTGTGTCAAGTCAACAGCAAGGGCTGGGGGGAATGAAGCAGTGGACCTGGAGTGAAGTTCTGGATTCAAATCCCATCTCAGATACTGCCTAGCTGTAACGTTGGGCAAGTCACTTAACCTCTTCCTGGGTTTCCGCAACTGCAAAAAGGGAAATCATAATAGGATCTACCTCCCAGGGTTGTTGTGAGGATCTGATTCGATGATGTTTGCGAGGTGCTAAATGCTGCATAGATGGAAGTCAGTGTTTGAGGGAGTGTAATAGTATGAGGGTGTGAGGTGGCAAAGTGAATAGAGCTCCATGCCTGGACTCAGGGTGACCTGAGTTCAAATCTGCCTTCACACACTTACTAGCTTTGTGACCCTGGGCAAGTCACTTAACCCTGTTTGCCTCAGTTTCCTATCTGTAAAATGAGCTGGGGAAGGAAATGGCAAACCACTACAGTATACCTGCCAAGAAAACCCCCAGTGGGCTCACAGAGTCAGACCCAGCTGAAATGACTCAGCCACAAGAAGGATGAGGGCAGGAACTGAGAAAGGAGAGTGTGAGTCCGGTCCTGACCTCACTGAGGAAGGAGAGGGGCAATGGTTCTAGAGAATGGCCAGGAAGATCTGGATTAGACAATCAATTGAAATTGTGTATACCTTAAAGCAGGAGAGGTTGGTGAGTGATGGCGGCTGAGGCAGAACCAGAAAGTGGCAATGCGGAGCTTGAGTATTCCCGGAGTCAGGGAAGTGAAAGTGAAAGTGCAACCAAAAACTGGAGGGAGAAGAGGTTTGTGATGAAAGGAGGCATGTTAATCATGGAGCAGGCATTCCAGACAGCACAGTGGAAGAAGACATGGGACATGGAGTGGAGGGAGGGTTAGGGACTGAGGGAGAGTGAAGACAGTTGGGGACGGAGAATGAGTTTGTGGCTGGGGGTCCAGACTCATTGGGATGGGGAGAGTATGAGGTGGAGAAGCAGCTAACCCCTGAGGAATGAGTTCAAAGTATCTGTGGCTAGAGATACATTCAAGAAGGCAAATGATTAGTGTTCAAATTCTTCCCTCTGAGCAGTCACAGGTATGGCCTGGGTGGCAGTGGGAAGTGGCTCTGGTCCCTAGTGTACTGGAGAAAGCCCTGGGCTGTAAAGATGGACTTCTGGACAGACAAAGGGCCTGTTACAAAGGTGTTTAAAAAAAAAAAAAGACAATCTATAGATAGGACTCCCTAGGCAGGCCAGGCGTGAATGTGAAGTGTATGTGGTGGTTGAATATCCTGCTGCCATGACTAAGGAAATCTCCTTTTTGGTAACGGCTCAATGACCTACATCTGTCTCTTTTAGTGCCAAGGCCTCAGCCCCAAACACCTGAGTAGCCCCATGGGTGTTGAGAAAGTCAGGATTCCAACCCAGGTGCTCTGACTACAAATCCCACACTTTGTTTGCCCCAGCTGCCCCCCATCCACCCCAAAGTTTGTCAAGGTCATTAAGAGACAGGAGAAAGGGAGTTGTGCCCGAAGGCCCAAGTCAGAGTCTGGGAGGAAAGCCAAGGGCAGGGAGAAGAGACAGGGATGAAGAAGCAACCTAAGAGACTGAGGAGTCCACCTGGTCAGAGGTGAACCAGGAGAGAGCCGTGGTCCCAAGACTCTCCAGGGAGGAGCCAGTCAGTTGGGTGCAGGGTAGCTGCACCTAATCCAGCTGCTTTGCCTTTCCTCTCTTTCCTATGTGTATGTTGCATCTCATTTGCTGGATTGCCGGTCCCAAGTCCTTCCAAGGCTGGCATCCTCCAGGTCCATCAAAGTGCCATGGCTACTGTCAATGCTTCCCTGCTAAAATGGGGGATGCCTGGGCATAGCTGGAGGCCAGGGCTGCCCTCACCCCTCCCAGTGGGCGACAATTCTCTAACTCCTAAGTCCAGTGTGAGCAGCAGGAAGGAGGGTGGGGCAGAGTCAAGGAAGAGGCCAGTCTTCTTTTTAAAACATTTTATTATTTCTGTATATGTTAAAGTCAGTGCCAAAAGGCTAGGCAGAGGGGGGCTGAGGGTGGGGAGGGCCCAATGGTGGACCCTGAGGCCAAGAGGAACTGTTCAGAACATGGAAAGCCGTTCCTGGCCGAGCCCAAGGGGAAAGAGGCAGATGATGCCTCTCAGGGACTCACACACACAGACTGAAGACAACCAGTCAAATAGAACAGCATGCTGAGAGATGAGCCCACCCAGAGACAGCCTGGTATAGCCACCCAAAAGGCCACAGCCTCATAGCAACCCATGAAAAGCTTGATCCTCCCAGACAGGCCTGCCCCCCCACCTCCCCAACACACACTCAAAGTCACTGACACATGGAAAAAAACATACCCCCAACTGCCTCTTCTGGACAGAAACAGAGACAAGCCCTTACAGCTCCCTGAGGACACCTGGGAGGCTGCTTGGTCTTCAGGTAGCAACAGTAAGGGAGAAGCCTCCCTCCTTCAAACCCTGGGCAGGGAATGGGGCCCTTCTCATGGGCCTGGTAGTCACCCCACTCTCCCCAAGACAAACTAAGGAAGGAATCAATAAAGCTACCAACTTCTCATTCCCCAGGCCAGCAGACTAAGGTGCACATAGGGACATGGACTTTTAGCAGAGTCTCAAAGGCCATTCTCCAGGGCAGAGTCGGTCCTGTTGGGCCCATGGCGGACAGGGGCAGTTGAGTACTTTGGAGGGTAACGGATGAAGAGGCGATCTTCCTCTCTCTTCACCCAACGAAGGAGCTTAGTCACAGCATGGATGGCACCTGACTTTGTCACCAGTGGGTTAAAGCAGGCATAAAGCTCAAATTTGGGTGTCACCTGAGAGGAGAGGTCAAGAATCAGAAGGGCACCCGCCAATGGTGATGGGCCCAGATGTCCTTCCTGGGCTGGTGGTAAAAACTCCATTATCCAGTCCCAGCCTTCTTGGAGAGAAAAGACCCATTGACAGTGAATGACTGCAGTATGGAGCCAGGAAGACCCAAGTTCCTATCCCAGCTCCAGATACTTTGGAGCTGGGTAACCCTTCACCCTGGCCCTCAGTTTCCTCCTCCATGAAATGGGGTCAGATTCAGTGACCTCTAAGGTCCCTTTCAGCTCCTTTGTCACCTCTGAGCTCCCTTGCTGCCAAGAAGCTGGACTCTGTGTTATCTCCAGCCACCTGCCACCCCCTCCCCCCATCTCACTCTTTGACTTCCCAAAGAGCTCATCCTACACTTTGATGAAGCTCTTGGTCAGATCACTGGGCATCATCAGCTCCCATTTTCTGAGCAGCTATTCTCACTAACTCTATCTAGTAAGTCTTGGGCAAATGACTTGGCTAAGGCCCTGCCCATCTATAACACCAGCTATTCTGAGTGTCAGAGCTTTCCCTGGGCAGTGAACAGAGCATTTCCTTTGGACATGAAGTTTGAGGCCTTTCAATTTTACTTTAAAATATGACTCATATTAGAAAGTAAAGGGATGGTATTTTTATTACTAAATACCCTTCCAGCTCTGAATCCTCTACTAGACCATTGGCTAACTAACCCTCTCCAGTTCCCTGAGCAATAGGCCTGCACCAGTGTGGTGCTTTCCAGAACCTCCAGACTCTATCTCCCTCCCTCCCCGGGAGCAGTCCTCGAGTCTGTGCAAAGGGCTCTGGGTACCATCAAAGCTTGGTGTTTGTGTAATTTGAATGCTGTGAACCCCAGAAAGCCAGAGAGCAGTGAAACCTTATCCTTTTTCGGGGTTTCTGGTTCGTTCAAACTTGCTCTCAAATTCGTCAGCTAAAGCCACTTGATGATTCCAGCTCACCCAAGCAAGCAGGGTCTCTTTCTCAGCCACATGGTAAATGAGCCGAAGGGGTCTGGATGGGGAATGTAGTCGCCCATGCAAGTGATAGTATAGGTCGAAGAGCCTCTGTCGTTCACACTCACTGGCATATGGGCCCTCCATCTCTGGGCTGGTGGGGGACAGAGGGGTAGAGGGGACAGTCAAAAAGGATCCTTTTCCCCTCTGTCCTCTTTCCTCCTCCACCTCCCTCCTCCACCTCCCTCCAGGAAGCCCTCTCAGAACTGATGACCCAACATTCACCTGGTAAACTGTGGTAGCTGTCGATAGTTGTCAGGGACGTCAAAAGGCTTGTAGAGGAAGTGCCGCAGGTCGGGGGCACCAACTGCACTGACCCCATAGGAGGGTAACCCTACTCCACCACCAGCCAGAACCCGAGAGGCCCCCAGGGCCTGCAGGCCCTCTTCAACTATCCGCTTACAGCCAGCCAGGGCATGGAAGGCCTCACGGTCAGTTGAGAGAAGCACAAGGCAGATAGCATAGTCAGTGTTGTCACCCAGGTAGCTTACATAAGCATAAAAAAAGCCGTCGGGGTTGAATCGGGGCAGGCAGACTGGAGCCCAGACCTCCCCAGCCCGGAAGGCAGAAGAGGCTCCCACCAAGTTCAAGAGCAGGTGGAGATCAGCTGGGTCAAGGCGGCAGTCTTCCAGGACAGCCCTCTCTTGTGCCGCTGTGACCAAGTGGCGGCCAGCAGCCAAGATGGAGAAGGCCAGGCTGGGTGCCGTGGCCCGCTGCAGGAGGGCACCTAGGCTATCCCGGAATGGGGCAGGCAGGGGCAGGCAACGCACAGCACCCAGCAGGAACCCTGGCTCTCGCTCGGCTCCATCCAGCAGGCTGTCAAGGATTCGCTCAGAGCCAGCCAGTAGCCTTCGCAAGTCATAGCTCCTCTGGCGCTCAAACACTCGGGCCACACCAGCCCGAGTTAGCACACTCACAATCTGGGCATGCACTCCTAGGAGCTCGCACCGAAGCTGCGCTGCTGACTGTGGGGTCCTGGACACCGCAACCAGCACTAGTGGGCCCTGCTGCAAGAAGACCAATGTTCGATCATCTGTCATGGAGGAAGGAGAAGGAAATGAAGAAGATGAGGGGATGGGCCCTCACCAGGACAAACACAGAAGTTTCTTCATTCTCTCCCCAGCTAGTTAAGCCTGTGCCAGCTCCTGACCTTCAAACCTCTGCCTCTGTCAGTGACTCACTGCATGACCATGGGCAAGTTCTTTCTTTTTGCTGGGCCTGCTGCCTTGTTGGGAAAAATGTGGGGATGATCTTTCCACCTCCTTCCAGGTCTGATATATGGTTTTCTGAGTTGGAAGTCCCTACTAACGAGCTTAGATCCCGCTCTAAGATGAATCTTATGGAAATGGAATTCAGAGTAGCTTTAGGAGACAGCCTAGTGTGATAGAAAAAGCCCTGGACGGGAGGTCAGTGTACTTGGGTTCAAATCTGTTCCCAATTCAGCTGCTTACTATTTGTGTGACTCTGGGGACATCATTCATACTTCTTGGGGCCTTTTTCATCGGTCAAATGAAGGGGTTGGCCCAGATGGTCCACAATGTCTTTCCAGCTTGAAATGTATGCTTCAGAAGGAAAGGGTGGGAGCAAAAGACTTTTGACAAATCCCTTCCAGCTATGATTCTACAACCCTGTATGAGACCACCTTGGACCTCTCTGGGCTTTGCTAGGAAGAAAGAGGGGTGGAGCTTGAGTGAGGCAACAGGGATGTGTGTGTGTGTGTGTGTGTGTACGCGCGCGCGCGCGCGAGACTGTGTTTGGGGAAACAGGATAAGATGGTCCCTACCTGAGTAGATAGAACGGATGGCATTGTCCCCACTTTGAATGAATGACACTAGAGCCATCATCACACCCATGGTGGCAGACAGGGCCTCCTCATTGCCATATCGGGAATAGATCGGCTTTCCAGCCTCACTCAGCACGAACACATGCTTTCGCCTGCTGCGCCAGCCCTCGGCTGTCACATCCTCATCATCTCGAGGTCCAGGAGTCGGCAAGTCCCCTCTTTGACTGGTGTCACCAGTGCCAGACATTTTACCTGGCTTTCCTGAGTCCTTGGTTCCTCTGTTATATTTTTTGTCCAAGGAAGTCTGGCCTGAAAGCTCATGTACACCTGAAATAAAAGGCCTTCTGTGAGTCTCCTGTTGACTGTCCTAGTCCATTTTCCAGGAAGATATCATCGGTTAAGCCCCCCTCCTCCAAGAAGCCTTTCTGGGTTTGCTCTAGTCCCCCATAGGTTTGGGGGTGGCACCCAGCCCTCTCCAACAAAACCTAATGGCCCCTTCGTGGGGCTTGTAGCTTCGGCTGGGGTAGGTGGCCAGGCTCACCTAGGTGGGTGGGGGCACCTTCCTCGGGCCCAGGCAGGGCCCCCTGAACCTCTTCATCAGCCCTGGGGGGTCCACAAGACTCCTGGCTGCCAGGGCCCCCCGAAGGCTCCTCATCACTGGCAACCCCGAAAGGCCTCGCTGAGTCACTGGGGGCTTCCGGGGCCGGAGCGGAGCCGCCGCAAGCGCCTCCTCTGGCCTCCATCTCTGCAGCCCTGGGTTTGGGCAGAAGACAAAGCTTAAGCGCTTGGAGCTTCCTCCAGCCTGCCTGCCTTCCACTGTGCCCCTGATGCAAAGGAAGCAAATGAGGCCAAGAAAGGCCAGTCCCAGACCGGGCCGGCCAGGGCGCCGTCATCACCGCCTCCCCGCCCCGCCCCGGCCCCGACGCGCAGAACTCACCCTGGGGCCTCAAGGCCGCAGCCCGGGGGAAGAGGGCAGGTCCGGCTCGCCAGGGCCTGGCCGGGGCCGGGGCCGAGGGCGGGGCCGGGGCCGAGGCCGAGGCCGAGGGCGGGGCCGGGGCCGAGGCCGAGGGCGGGGCCGGGGCCTGAGTTCGTAGGCTCCGAGCCCCGCCCCCACCCCCCTGCCCCTCCCTCCTCCAGCCCCGGGGTGAAGCTCCGAGATCTCCTATCCTGGCGCTCCAGGGGCGGGATTACGCGCCCCAGACGTCCTCTAGGCCAATACGACGCCTGGACTGCCGTCCGTCCCGCCCCGGGATCTCACAGACGCCTCCTGTAGGCCAAAGAACCTGCTGGGTACAAAAAGAGCTTGCCTAGGTTCCGCAGCCCGCCACCTCCCTCCCCCTCAGGGCTGCCTGGGCCTATTTCGCTAGCCTGGCACTCTCTCTGGAGCGTAGTACCGTGGGCCAATGGACAGCCTGGGGACGCCCGTTCCGTCTTCTTTTGCCGGGGCCCGCCTGGGCCAAATCCTGCCCACCCTAAGGTCTTCCTTCCAGAAACCTCTCGCGGGCCAATGAGAGAGCTCCGAGCGTCAGTAGAGCGTCCGTCAGCTCCTCCCTCTCCCGCTCCTAGGAACTGGAGACGCGGGGGGCGGGTCCTCCCCGCCTGGCTTGGAGTCGCGGGCTACCATTGGCCACAGACCTGAGGACGTTCTCCGGGCTGTCCGACCCAGGAGGTTCCGCTGGGTGGTTACGCGCGCATGCGCGACTTAGTCAAGTTGGGCTTCCGAGCGGGAACAGAGCTGGGCGCGGGAAACGAGCTCGGTAGTCACCAGGTGAGACCCGCGGACGTGCGTGCGTGGCCATCCCGCCCCTCTCCCCGACCACCTTAACTTTGTTGCGGTTAGAGTTGGGAGAGTTGGTTCAGGTGTGAAAGTATTCACTTAGACTTTCTCTGTAGCCATTGGTGATGAGTTCAGGGTGGACCCCAAGAATGTTGGGGTGCCACCTGAAATGATGAAGACTAGACATGCGGGTCCTAGGGTCCTGAAAGAATTCACTCGGACAGTCTCCAAGTTAAAGAACGGCATTTATTGGGGTGCTGCACTCCAGCGGGCCCGCTCCCCGTGAGGTAGAGCCCCAGTAGGCTCTCCTCCACGTGGGAAGCAGAGCATAGGTCGCAGGCCCTGCCCCCCAAGGGGGCTGATCGGCCCCTGCTTTCTGTAGGGAGGTAAAGGCGGCTAGCCAGGTCAAAGGTATGGTTCAAATGCAATTTTATGGAATAGGGGAAGGGGACGAGAGAACGGGAGGAGCAGGCTGGAATGTCGGGGAGGCCGGAGGTGATGAGCAAAGAGAACAAGAAAGACATGGGGAAGAGTTCTTGTGGAATTGAGGGTGCTTTGTGAAAGCACACAGAGAAGTCCGCAGTGCCTAGTCTTCCGTGATCACTTCTCTGGCTGGTCACAGCCTGCATCTTATCTCCTGTCTCGGGTCCTGCTAGCTCCGTCGGCCTCAAGCACTTTTTTTTTTTTTGCTCAGAAAAAAAGTTTTAAAACTACGTATTGTAATAAGAAATAAATTCAATAAAGAATGATAATACTGAGAACCAAGGCATTCAGAGATTTCAAAAGACATGCATTTTTTAAGTTGATCCAGAATTTTGTCAACTTAAGTTTTCAAGAGTTTGTTTAGAGCAAACATTACTCATAAATGTCACACATGTATTTCATACACTTACTTTCTGCCCAGTAAAAGACCTTTGATAAACATCTAAAATGTCCAAGTTTATCATAGTTGAGATGAAACTGGAACAAACACTGGTATCATCTTAGCAAGTCTCTCCTCAAATGCTTTCAGTGTCTTGAGTTTATTCAACCAAAATAAAAATCAAAATGGCACAGCATATATTGTAAGGAAATCAAAATACTGCATATGTAACAGGAAGACAAAGCAGTGGCGCATTAAACAAAAATTAGCTGAATGTAAAGGGATGAATGTCTATTGCATAGCAAATAAACTGAAAATCTTTTCCAAGTGAGACAAGGTGATGGATGAGGTCACCATGCAGGTATTTGCTTAGCTTTGCTCCTGACCTTTGACATCAGAGGTGTGAAGGTATGTAAGAGGGAATCAAGCACTCTTTTCTACCTCATCAATTTCCCTGCGAGTCAGTCCCACCAGTGCCTTCTTGGAATGTGTTGTCTCTGGCCCTGTCTCCCTGATTCTCTTCACGGCTCTCCATCTGTGGACCACAAATGGCCGATCTACCCTGCTCCATCTCCCTGAACCTTTGACCTTTCTTTGTAACCCTTCTCTTTAACAAAGGGACTGCTGGCACATAGGGACCTCTGTCTACATAGGGTATCACCCTTACCTGCAGGTGCACTGCCTAAAGGGAATGTAAATTTTAATCTCTGAAACTTTCTTTTTTCTCTTAGAGACCAGCCTTAACCCATTGACTGGCCAACAATAGGTCCCAGGCCAAGCCCTGCTTGCTCACTCTTTGGGCCCTGATTGGCTCAGAACGAATGTAAATAGCAATTGTTTTTGTTTTGGCCAGAAACCCTGAGGGCCTTCCCCTCCCAGATCTATCATTTTTTTTTTTCTTTAAGAGGCCATTCTCTGCCTCATTTCTTATTAAGTCTTAATCCTGGGCTGCTGCCTCAGTCAAACTGAGACCTGTGAAAGACCTTCGCTTAAAAGAGCCAAGGTCTCCCACAGCATCCTAGGCTGTCTCCTGTTGTTCTGATCCGTATCTGGCCACTGGACTCAGATGGCTGTGAAGGAGGAAGTGAGGCTGGTGACTTTGCACAGCCCTCCCTTACTGGCATGTCACGGAATCGCCTCCCCGATGTCATGGTCCTCTTCGAGACAACAAAGGACAAACAGCTGCAAGCAAGCTGGTGCATAGTGGGCGCTGAATGCCTCCCACAGTCCTTTGATGTCGACCTGAATTTGGCTCTTTCTCCATCACTGCTGTCCTACCTCATTTTCCTGTTCCTCCTCTCTCTGAATGTACCCAGAGCTCTAATTCTCCTCAAGCCTGTTGCAGGACACCTGGGCTTTTCCATCCAGGATCCTAGGAAAGGCAAAGGCCAGGCTGCCTGAAGGCAAGAGCCCGAAGTGGGGGGCTCCAGCCCCCAGGAAGTCTTTCAGAAACAACAAGACTTGGGGGGGCGGGAGGTGGGAGCAGAGAGGCGAATTGCTGGCTGCTGCCATTCCAGAAGCCAAAACGGAAATGATCCCTACTCCAAGACTTTCCATTCTCCTTGGTGGTGGGAGAATTTTCTGGGTCCCAAATAAGCCAGCACAGGATACAGACAGACAAGGAAATTCAGAGTGGGCCGCACATCCCCAGTAGGTTCTCACAGTTTCAAAGATGACGACATATTTATAAGTCAAATAATATCAAATGAGATCATCTTTGCAAATATCATCTCATCTGAGAGTCACAACAAGCCCACAAGGTAAGGGCAATTATTGTCTCTATTTTACAGTCAATGAAATGGGTAAATAGAAATTAAGTGAGTTGTCTAGGGCCACACTGCTAGTAAGTATCTGATGTCAGATTAGGTACTCAGTACTCCAGGCCCTAGGCTCTAACAAAGGCACCACCTAGCATCCTCCTTTACCTGTCCCTGAAATATGTGCTGAGGCATCACCTAATAAAATGGCAAAGAGAAGACAGAATGGAGTAAATTATGTTCTTCCCCAAATCCACTTTCAATGCCATCTACAATTCAATATGTCTAAAATAGAACATAGCCTATTCTCCCCCCCCAAAAAAAAAAGAAACCAAAATGCTTATTTTTGTTGTGGTCCAGTTTTTCAGTCGCGCTCGCCTCATTTGGGGTTTTCTTGGCAAAGATCCTCAAGTGGGTTGCCATTTCCTTCTCCAGCTCATCAGATAAGGAAACGGAGGAAGCAAGGTCAAGTGACTACAAGACCACATTTCTGGAAACTGCTGCAGCCCTGATTTCAGTCTCTCAGATTGCAAGCTTCAGAATTGCTCCCCAGTGTTTCCCTCTCTCACACCGAATCTGACTTAGCATGTCATCTCTAAGATCTGTCCCCTGCTTACCGCCATCCTAGCTCAGAGCCTCATTATTTGTCACCCTTACTAGCCACGTTATTCAGTCTCAGCAGCTGATCCATTTTCTACATTGATGCCAAAACATTTTCCCAAAGCCATAGGTCTCATCAAACTACTCTTATGGAGGGCAGCTAGGAGTACCCAAGTTCAAATCCAGCCTCAGACACAAAATGCTCACTAGCTGTGTGACCCTGGGCAAGTCACTTAACCCTGTTGCCTCATCAAAAAAGAAAAATAAAAAATAAAAACAAACTGCTCTTATGCTCCAAACACCTTCTTCTTGCCAGGATGCCCACTCAACCTGAAACTAGAGGCCTTTCACAATCGAGTTCTCACCAACCTTGGCAGACTTATTTCTTTCAAAAAAAAAAGTTTTCCATTAAAAAGCATTATTTTCTCTCCCACATCAACCCCCTCTCCCAAACCCCCCCAACCCCCCATACTCCATATAGATCTACCTGTCCCCATTAGGTGTTTCTCATATCTCTTCATTTGGTGGCTAAACTTTTTGAGAAGGCCACATGCAATTTGTGTTGTTTCTTTTCTCACTCTTCTTAACCTTTTTAAATATGACTTCAGAGCTGACCATTGCACTGAAGTTATCAGTGATCTCTTAATTGTGAAATCTAACGGCCTTTTTAAAATCCTGACTTTTCTTGCTCTCTCAGCAGCATTTGACATTGTGGATCACCCTCTTCTCCTCCTGGATTCTCTCTCCTCACTGGGCTTTTGTGACACTACTCCCTCCTGGTTCTCCTCCCATCTGTCTGACTGCTCATCACTCTCCTAGATTGGATCGATCTTCCTTCAGGTCATCCACATGTATGGGTGACCTTTTTCTCCCTCTATACTGTTCTGCTTGGTGATCTCATCCACTCCCATGGTTTCTGTTATCAGCTTTATGCAGACAAGTTTCAGCTGTTCATCCAGTCCTACCCTGCAGTCTTGCCGCTACGACTTACATTGGTTATTTCAAACTAGGTTGTCCATGGACATCTTAAACTCAGCATGTCCAAAATTGAACTCATCTTTCCCCTCAACCTCTGCCCTCTTCCTAACTTCCCTATTACTGTGGGGGGGGTACCACTATCCTCTCAGTCACTGAGGCTCTCAACCTGGGAATTGTCTTCAACTCCTCACTCTGGCTTGCCACCACCTCTCATATCCAGTCAATTGACTCTTCCTTCCCAATATCTCTGGAATGAGAGCATATGGGGCGTTCAGAAGGACTCACCCCTCTGGTGGGAGGGCTGCTCATCCACCTTTGGTGTCCACTTGCCATCCATCTCTCACCTCTGGCTCCAAGAAGCTGGAGCGTGCAGTGGCCACACCCCCAGTAAGCCATCTCAGCAAACAGGTTAGCCAGGTTGAGGGTAACAAACAGTCCTCAAACCTCTTGGTGAATGAGGGGAATGTCTACCCCAAACATGTGAAAAATGAACAGGTGAGAACGGTTTGTTCGGATGAAGATGGCAGGAGCAGGCGCTGTGGAGAGCTTAGAGCTTGGGCACACGTAGAAGCTGCCAAGGTCATCCCCTGCATCTTGGGCCATCACCTGACTTTTGGCCTGCTGTGGGACTTTGACGACTGGAGAAGAGAGAGTGAGGTTCATTGCTGACTTTATGAAGCTGGACCTCACTTCAGTCCAATTCGTGCATGAGTCAGGACATTGCCTGTGAGATCATTGGTACTCTTTGTTTTGTTTTAAAATTTTTTCTACTGTTTTTACTAGGAATGGGTGTT